TTTGCATCTCTCTTCTGCTTTCTCGTTCTGGCCATGTTCGTGGTGTTTTCTACCACCTTTCACTGCCAAGCCTCCTTTCTGATCCACTCCTTGCTATTTGCCTTTGCCCTACCCAGCACCTGCTCGCAGCAGCTCCTCCTCCTCCATCAACTGCTGCAGACCCTCAAATCTGTTGTTCAGCGCTAGCTTGAATGCGTTCCTAACCTCCAAGTCTTTCAGCTTGCTGACCTCGAAACGCACTCGGCCATTTTCCCCTTTTCTCACTTTGGCAATCTTTAGCCTGAATTTTGCCATCAACAGATGGTGGTCTGACCCAACGTCTGCCCCATGCAGCACGCGAACGTCCTGCAGTGAGCTCCTCCATCTCCTGCTAAATGCCAGGTGGTCGATCTGGTTCACAATAACACCGTCAGGAGTCCTCCATGTCTGCTTGTGACACTCCTTACGGGGGAACAGCATTCCACTGAATACCAGCTCATTTGCCTGACAGAAGTCTGCCCACCTCTCACCATTTTCATTCATCTCAGCTCTTGCCCCATGTTTACCCATCACCTCTCTACCTGTATTGTCCATCCCCACCTTAGCATTCATATCTCCCGTGATGATCACATCTCTGCATGGCACCTGCTCCAAAACCATCTGTAGCTGGTCATAAAAATCGTCCTTCGCCTCCTCCGTTGCCTCATTTGTTGGGGCATAGCATTGCAAGATGGTGACCTGCTGCCATCTCAAGTTGAACCTGGCTCTGATTATCCTCTCAAACGACAGTTCCCATTCCAGCAGGCATTGTGCAGCTTCTTTAGACAGAATGAAGCCAACTCCTCTCTCATGATTTTCACCTTCATCCATTCCTGAGTACAGCACAGTTTCTCCTGTAGCTATTCTCAACCTCCCACAAGAGTTCCATCTCATTTCATTTACTCCCAGAATACTAATACCATTTCTCTGCATCTCTTTGATCACCTAAGCACACTTACCAGTCTCAAACAATGTCCTTACATTTCATTGCCCGATCTTCACACACGCGGTTTATGCTTCATCGGCGGTTTATGTGTTAGCATCTTGTACCCCTGCTTCCCGATAGGGCGCAATGGTAATTCTAGTCTTGGGTTCTATAATATGTTCCTTTTTCCGGAAGCGGATTATCGGCCCACCGCCCAACCCCCAACCTGGAGGACCAGGGGCTGTTCTTCATCTGGCCTCTACCCTTCGACCAATCCGGCATAATTAGACCTGCCAGGGACCAAAGTCCCCGCCGGCACAGCTCTCTGGGTCATTGAGACACACAAGCTCCACCACCGCGACAAAGTGTCAGCCCAAGGTGAAGTATCTTGACAATGTCAATGGATCAACCTCTGCATTTATCGATGGCTGACTGACTGACTGATTGATTGCTCCATTGATTGATTAATTTATTGAGACTTTAAACAAAGTAGAAATGTAGTTGGTAAATTCGAAAAACTCAGGAAAGAAAATTATAACCTTGGTAAGTGCTGTAAGTATTTCAAAAATAGGTGGACATATTGTAAAATTATTTTGTCTGTTTTGATCTCCTACACATTTATTTGTAAGTTGATGGTGGCTGGAGCAAATGGAGTCAATGGAGTATCTGTACTAAGACAATCAGTGGCATACAAGCAAGAACAAGAGAGTGTGCTAATCCAGAGCCAGCACATGGTGGAAAGAAATGCAATGGAAACAAAGCAGTTGTGAGGGAGTGTAACAACATATCCAGCTGTCATGAAGGTAGACATTAACATTAGTAATTTACTGTGTGGATGGAATTTGCCACAAGTAATAGAATCAATTGGACAAGTTTCTAAAACAAAATCCATTGTATCATTTTCTTTCATCAGCATTTCCACTACGCTTTCAGTCAGGAGAGAACCCATCTCGTGGCATAATGCAAATCTACAAGAATGGTAGCTGGCAAAAACTTTGCACCAGAAGTTGGGATACATATGAAGAAAACTTGACCTGCAAGGCCATGGGTTACTCAGCTAACAATGTTGGTTATGATAATGGCATGTGGCACACAGACAGCAGCAATACTTCAAACACATCAATCCACTTTAATTGTACAACACTAACAGAATGCGGGAGTAACATTGATAGCAAAACACAATTAACATGTAAAGGTAATTAATTGATGTATGACTTAGCCTGGCCCAACTTTGTGTTTAATGTGTTAAGTCTAATTTGGTACAAATTACCATCCCCTCTATCTGCCTTAATTTCTTAGTTTTATGCAGTGAGTTCTCATTGAATACCGTAAACTTCCAAAAGTAACAACCCCCAAAAGTAGCGACCCCCTGAAAAAAGTGACCCCACCGAAAATAGTGAGACCGAGGTTCAATAGTCGAGCGAAAGTTACCATACCATCACTTGATTCGAGGTACTCTTCAACGGGAAGGTATCGCTCTTGCACAAAGCCTTGTGAAATGTCAATTCGATTCATGCTTTGTCAATTCATGTTGTGCTGTGTTAAAACAAAAACTGTAGAATTTTCATTCACTAACAGGAATGTACTAACAGAACTTTTCTGTAAATTAAAATTGACAACGCTGTATCATTTTCAATAAGAGCTAATTAAAAGGAACCTTTATTACGTGGATGAGAAGCAACCGCGTTAGAAATTGGGCTGCTTTGTTTTGTTTTTTTGCTTCAGGGTAGTCGTAAATTGCGACGCAAGTTGTTATTGGCTACAGGTAATTACATTGTAGCCAATGGTAGCTCCTGTTGTTTTCTATCCAGATTCAAGGTTGATTTTGTCGCAACAGGAGGGCTTCATGTGGTAAGCTCCGAGACGGCTCCACGGGATACACAAACCCTCAACTTGTCGCGAAATGTGAGCAAATTTTATGCGTGACAAGTTGTGAGTTTGATGAACGAGCAGCAAATCCAAAATTTGTTGCTCAAAGTAGACCTGCTCTCTAACTATTCGCAACAACAAAGTTGATCACGCAAGGTGAAAAACTCGAAACATCAGCCAAGTTGAGAGTTTTTGTATCGAATATATCGTCGCCGCCTTTAAGCGGTGATATACGAGATACGGATTTTTGTTTCTCGTATTTCGCTGCCTTTAGAACATAGCAAAACACCTTCATTTTTTTTTGTAGTGCACGTTAGGTGGACTGCATGTGTTCAAAGAAAATTTGAAGGTGTATAATAAAGAACCATCGAAATAACCTCTTGTTTAGTTATTAGTATAAACGTTGATTTCGTTGTTTTGAGCTTAATACATTTTCGTATTGCTTCGATTTGAAATAATTATATTTAAACCCGAACAAGCGTTTTGAACGCTTGAGGAAGGACTTGTTGTTTACCCTGCAACTTACTTCATCTGACCAAATGTCTCAAATGTATGTTGTTTATGCTTCCAGATCAGACAGCAGCGTCTTAAGAAACTAGCACTCATTTTTAAGAACGAGCAAAGCCATGCATAGCAAGCCGAATGAGAACTGTACGGCTCGTAGAAAACACGGAGTGACATTCGCAATAAACTGTTCAGAATAATAGAAAACAATATGTTGATTCAAGAGGATCCATGTGTTGTAATTCGATTCAGGCGACTCGTATGCAAAAAGCGTTCAGAAAATTACCAGCGTTCTGATTTCTTTTCTCACGTAGAAAGAGCGTGTTTGTTTGCTCGAGGTCGTTTTATCTATATCTGAATGAAAAGTTGTTTCTTTTCCAGTATAAGTGCTGTTTTAAAACGAGATTTTCAAGATGTTCATCCCAAGAATTTGCTGGCTTTACGTTAATTGTTTCGTCACAGCTCTCTGAATATATTTACATTACCTATCAATGCATTAAGGGAAGTCTCTGAATTTTGCTCTCTATGTGACTCCTATCAAGCCAAGATCACACAAGTCATCAGGAGCTTTTTTATATGTGAGAAATTCCCTTCACTCTTGTATTTACTTGTCTTTATTCCCGATATTTTAAGATCGTGTGACCGCAAGTTTGTTTTTCACTTCTGAGCACGTGCAAGGTGTCGCAGAAGAATCGTCGTAAATGTTATCGTAGCATAAAGGAAAAGGGAACTGTCAAGAAAGCCAAATCTTTGTTTGTGGGGGGCTTGGAAATTTCCCCCCCAAAATCTGCGCACAGAAAAAATGTACAGACTTTTTGCCACAAAAATTCAATGGCCCGAGGTTCTTAGAGGGGGGTGGGGGTGGGGGTGGGATAACAACAATTAAGGTTTTCTCTTTTCTTTAGAAAAAATCATTCACCATTTTCACTTAATTTCATTACCTGGTCTCACTCTTCGCACAGAAACCAACGATGATCACTGCAAACTTAAAAAAACCATCCGCATTAAGGCCTCTAGGCCTCATGTTTTAAATTTACATTGAAAACAAGGCTAACACACCGAGATATTGTTAAAGCAGGAGTAACATAGTAGTGTATCATGAAAGATGAAGAATTTAATTTAATATTTTATTAATAAAGAACTGTTTAATTTCGTAAAAAACAGCACAGTCTTACCAACTTCATATAACGTTTCTGGCTACCCGAAAGTAATGACCTCTGATAGTAATGACCCCTGAAAGTAACGAGCCCCAAAAGCTGCTAATTCCAAAAGTAATAAGGATTGTTACTTTCGGAAGTTTACAATAAGCCAAAATGTAATATACATTTTATATTATACGTAGCTCCTGGGCCAGGTTGTTCAGAGCCCGACTAAGCTAACCCAGGAAAAGGTAGAACTTTGATTTAGGTTTTTAACTTTGCGGTGAGGTTTTCTGTATATTGTTTGCCTTCTGTTTTGAGTTTTCATAATCACTATATACACAAAACAAAGCAGCAGAAAACATTTGTATAGAAGAAAAAATTGTAATTTGGTTAACTTTAACCCTGGGTCAGCGTTAACCGGCTTCCAAAGAATCCTGCCCTGTTTTCAACAAGTTAACATGACATAAGCCCCAATCGAAAACCATCACTTGGTCAGCAGTCAACATCAAAAAACACGTGACCTCGATGAGCTGTTAACTTGAGCCGGTGATATGGTAACATGCTACTGGTCAGCGGATTCCTTGTTTTGACAGGTGTCACTTGATCACAACATGGATGTCCAATATCAAAGAAGTACACGGTAAACCAAGGCTGCTTGTCTCTGTTAACCTATTATTTGGAGTATGGCCGCCATGTTGCGCGACTCCGTTGACGCCGTCGTCGCTGTCGCCGTCGTGCGCACGCGCCTACGAGCAATTCTGCTAGCCATGATAACCACGAGAAAATCACTCATGGGTTTCCTTTTCTTTCCTATATGAGTATGAGGCTCCCCATGGCAGCCCTTCGGGCCGCCGGAGCTCCTCTATTAAAGAAATGAAGTGGCTAGCTGTTACTCCAGGAACCATTTGATTTGTTCTTCCCACCTGGCCTTGACTCTTCATAAGTCAGTTAGTCCACCAATTGTGGATTAAAGCTACCTATTTTGTTGTTGTTGTTGCTTCTTTGCAAATACCTAAGGTTACAGTTTGACATTGTGCAAATTAGTTACAAAATTATGTGCAACAAAACGAAATTAGCAACTTCTAAAACTGGCTGGATAAACTTTATGTTTGTCACGTTTTTTTAATCTGAAACCTAGCTGCTACCAGGAAGCAAGTTCTGAGACAGAGGATTGGGATTTTTACGGGAAAATAGGGTTGGTTTTATGACCCTAAATCTACTAATTTTAAGCAGTTTGTTAATATTTTTTTTTGTATTGTCACAAGTTCCTGTACGTTTAAATGGAACAAATCTAGAATATGGTGGGAGAGTGGAAGTATTTTACAATGGAAAGTGGGGAAAGATCTGTCAGAACAAATGGAATTTTGAAGATGTAAAAGTTATTTGTCGTCAACTTGGCTTCAAACGTGCAGTGGCTGAATTTGTAGTGGCAGATGTCAAGGATGAGGACATTCCTTTTGTAATGTCTGATGTAGCCTGCAATGGAAATGAGCCCGAGCTGGCATCCTGCCAGCGAACTGATGGAAAGCTAAATGTTGACTGTCAAAATGATGACACAGGTGCTCAGGCATTGTGTGAACCAAAAAGTAAGTGACCATTTTAGCATATAGATTTTTTTACATGTAGGTCTTTGCAAGTCTTACATGTAGTTTCTTGAGATCTTATTTAGCTCTTGCTGGTAATAGCAAAAACGTTTTTCACAACAGATTTTCTTTCCATTTTGTTTGATCACCATGGAACCATGACATAAATTAATAATACATTCAACTCTTTTATTAAGCCCACGTTAAGTAAATTGCAATCTCACAACACCTTTCATGCAGGGAAAGGTGCCAGGAAGGGTGTGCAACTGGAAGATGCTATACCTAACAAAGTCTCACGTTATGAGTTTGCGTTTGCCATCATTGTGCCACAGGGACAGTCAGTCCTTGAATATCATCAGTACATTGTGGATCCTAGTTGTCGAAGTTCTTAGAGGGTGTTAGTTTTCATGACAAGATAAACCTGTTTCTAGTAAAAGTTCAAAAAGGCAGAAGATAAATTATGAAATGTATATCATATTTACCAAGTTTGAGGGTCATACCCGGAGAATACCTTGTCATACTTGGCGAATACCTGCCCGGGGTCTTGACAGAATGGTTTGAGAGTAGCGAGGTGTGCATAAAAAAGACCGAGGGCCACAATCATGGACGGGAAAAACATCGAAAACTTCAAAAAATGCAATTCTGATTAGGAGCTGACCAGGCATGTACACATCTCTCATCTCTAATGTTAAATAAAACGGAAGGGAAAGAGAGTTGGAACAGAAAGAAAAGGAATCTTGCATGTGACAACAATTTCTTTCAAAACTGTAAGCCTTATGGGTTACATTTTTGAAAGAACTTGCTGAAAAACTACAGAAAATCTTCCAGAGTGATTGTGTGTAATCATTGGGCGGTGCCCAGTCCGGTACTTAGAGAATACTGGACTGGCAATGGAGCAATCTGATTGGTTGGTTTTAACTGGCGTCTGAACTAACTTAGTTTTGCAATGAAATAATGTACATGTACCATACCATTTTTGGGCATTTTGATGCGTACACCAGGACCCAATTCAGTGCAATGATGCCAATCAGAATTTTGATACCTGTGATAGGATGGAAATGTGGGAAGACACTTCTGACAAAGACATAAAAATTATATTATTATAAGAATTTCTTAGTAAAACTATGTGATCACAATATTTAGCTTATTGGCAACAACTCAACGTACCCCCTTGTATCACAAATGGTTGCTGACTCCTTGTAGCATTTTGTTTAAGCGAAATTTATCTTGTGTCAATTATATTTAAAAGCATGCTGGGATTGAGAATCTTACGCATATCACAATGTGCCAAGCATAAGTCTTTTCTTTCAGAGGACAAAACTATCTTGGATGTGGGTCAAGAATTTTTGGATGTTGACAGCAGCGAAATTATTCGCTGCTCCTTAGAAAATGAAACCAATCACATAACTTGGTTCAATAACAAAAATCAAGAGATTAATTCTACATCTGAGACAAGGATGGAGGCAAACAAAAATGGTGAATTGACCATTAAAAACGTTCAGTTGTCTGATGGAGGAACCTATGAATGCAGGGGATTAGAATACACTCGATACTACACCATCTATGTCAATGGTAGGCCAACTTATTTTTGCTAGGTAGAGTAATTGGGTCATTTAAGGCTGGTTTTCACTAGCGACGGAGTGGTAGTTGGAGTCGTAATCAGAGGTGTAGAGTGATACCATCTTGTGAAAATCAAACCGACGGAGTCAGAAGCAGAACACCGATTCCGCTTATAATTCCGTCGCTTACGATCTAGTGAAAACTGCATTGTCGGAGTCGCAAGCAGAAGCGGAAGAATAAACCAATCCCAATGTTCAATTCCGGACCTTGTGATTGGTTGGTTCTTCCGCTTCTGCTTCCGACTCCGACAATCTAGTTTTCACTAGGTTATAAGTGACGGGGTCGTAAACAGAATCGGAAGAAATGGAAACGTTCTGATTCTTCCGACTCCGATTTCGTTGAGCTTACAATCCCGCTTACGACTCCGATTTCCGATTTTCGCTAGGTCCTAAGCTCTCTTATCACTCCGACTACGATTCTGACTACGACTTTGTCGCTAGTGGAAACCAGCCTGTCCACATGTGTCTGGTTGTAAATGCGCACCTTCACCACCTTTGGGGTGAATGAGATTCTCAAATTATTGAATTAAAAATTTGAATTAAACCCCAAAAGGAGACTAATCTGGGCATTGCTCGAGCTTTATTTGACCCCTTAAAGATACCACTTACATGTAAACTTGAATAGACTCGGATTACCAGCTGCTGTTGAGGAAAGAAGCCTGTGTTAGTAGACTGGACTTGTGAGACTGGTAGAAATCAATCTGAACAACGGAAATAAGAGCTTTTCTTTTGTTTAAGTGGACACTAAAAGATACTTTGACAGCTAAGAATAATGGCGTTTTGTCATCAACACCCTAAGTGAGACCAGAATCCTTGATTTATACCCTAAATGAGAGCATCCCGACATGTTCACAGGGAGTCCTCCCAAGCTATAAATGCATACGATTTTGTCTCCATAGAGCCAAGCAATCTTCAACAGATCGTGTACACCTGTCACACATAAATATACACGATCTCATTTACAGCATGTGCAACTACACAATTAACCAATGGCACAGTAGAGAACATTTATTTTTGTTAAATGAGGGTAACCAATAAAACTCTTCCAGAAATTGGGCTAGGTCGGAAAAGAAATAATTAACAACTATAATACTTTTCAAATTATTTAAGTCTGGTAGTTAATTGACATTCATCTCTGCATAATCTAATTAACATTTTAAAGCATTTTTCTTCTAAGTGCTGGTTTGGTTAAGAGCTCACTGAGATAAACTTGCCCTTAGCATAGACACGTTTTTGCTCACTGTACATAAAGGATTTCAAGTAGAGTAACCTAATCATGTGTGGTTTAGTAAACGAAGACGATCTACCTTAACCAAAGACGTTTTCATTTTCCTTGTTTTGTTTAGTTGAACTTTTGTTTACTCCAAATGAAGGTATTGTTCAGTCAAACCAAATTTTGGGAACATTTGCTGTATAGCTCGCCAAAATCTCACCAAAATGTAAACAAATGTGAAGATCTTCAAAGTCCCGACAAGATTTAGGGTTTATATTTTGTCCCTGAAATTGCATAAAGTGATGATTTTACCTGTGATGACCTCAAGTCTGATTTCAATGAACATTAATGTTTCTCTTTTTCAATAAGTCTATGTAAATGTAAATCTAAAATTCAATTAGTTAACCACTAGGATAAGATTTAATTTTTTAAACTTGTTTCAAGATACAGTAGTTTCAGACATTCATCAAAACAATTGCACTGTTTCTTCTAATAGCAAGATTTACTGAGGTAAACCTTGAACAAGTTATTAGCGCTGGTGCTTCTGGGATTATAAGCTGTAGTGCTGAAGGAACTCCAACCCCGCAGATTGAGTGGAAGAGACAAGATAACGTACTACTGGACAAGGGAAGATTCACACAACTTTCTAATGGAAGTTTGTACATCAATCCAGTTTACCCACAAGATAAAGGAACATACATCTGCACCTTCAGACAAAGTAAAGGAAGTAAAAGGGTTACAACAAAAGAACAAACCATCAATGTTGTTGTCATAAGTGAGTGAGAAATACAGTGTACTTTAATCAAGCATTTTGACAGACAACTTTATAAATGATATTCATGAACAGCTGTATTTAGAAGGCACTTCCATGCAATGTATGCATAGACTGAGATTTATGAGCAATTGTTTATTGCTCAAAAGAAATCCTTGGTCTATTTCCAAATAGAAATAAATGATCCATTGTGGAGTAGGCATTTTGATGGCTTTGGAATTAGAAACCTGGAATGGGGTTTGGGGAGATTCTACCTATGAGGGACACTTTTTCAGACTGGAGTTTCGGACTTTTTATTTAAGGGCTACTCAGCCCACGATTGTAGAAAAGGGATGCAGTGTTCCTACCATCTAGATATATGAAACGAAAGGGGTGCCATTTTCAATGGCAGATATGTAACAGGGGTACTTTTTCCGTCATAAATGATATATAAAAGGCTATGATGGAGTCCTGGGGGTAAAGTCTCCATATATTTAACTTTTTTTCCATAAACCTCCTTGACTAGAAATCTAGTTGCTGGTTTTGGACATTGCTTAAACCTTCTAAAAAGTTATCATGATTTATATCTTTATCTTCCAATGCTGTTTAATTGTTTTACTGTTCTTTTCTGTAGTTCGCCCAGTTATTGAGATGTTAGGGCCAAACAAGCCCTTGCAAGAAGGAGAAAGTGCCAACCTGACTTGTAACATTATTAAAGGCTTCCCTAAACCAGAACTATCAATTTTTAAAACTGGAGACCCTGAAGGACAACCAACCATTTCTAAATATGGATACCTTCTGTTTGACGAGTTGAAGAGAACTCTGCTCTTAACAAATATAACAGACAGAGTCGAAGGGAGATACACCTGTATAGCACAAAATGCTGGTGGTAATTTCACTGACAGCAAACATATAACAGTTAAAAGTAAGTTAATAATAATTGTCATCGATATACTAACCATGAAGAGCATTATTTAGAATTTTATATTGCTCACTCCAACAAATTAAAACCTTACTCTCATGAGAAACAGGGGTGCTTTCCATCAAGGCCGTGGCGACGCAAATCATTGATTAATTATGTAGATGTCACTTGGAGGGGCTACAACTGAATGCACACTCATGGGCTGCCAAGAGTACTCGAAATAAACTTAAGCACTTCCTGAGCAGCAACCAATGCTCTTACACAGCTTGTCTAGGTTAGCATGGCCACAAGGGGTAAATTTCACCATTTGCTGCTGTTTTTTAAAATTAAAATTCCAGGCAACCAAGCAATTTAGAACCTTTCAGGTTTTAAATTGTTTAGTTGACAGGAATTTTAATTTCAAACATTCGAAAGATATTCATCCTTATAATACATGCCAAAACATAAGATCTGTAAACCTGAAACCAGTTAAAACCAGTTAAATGCAGGGCATGCGTAGTTAGTAAAAAAATTGGGAGTGGGTGCAGAATAGCTTTCTCGGAAAGAAGCCTATTTCTCAAAAACATCTCCTTAGAATTTCACAACATTTGGCAAGAATATACTTTTGGAAATACGCAACTGGAGTATTGAAAAAAAAAGAAATTTAGCAGAAAAAATTCCAGATATTCCTGTTTTCTTTCAACAAGGGATAATTAAAAATCTCTTTATCTATTATTATTAAAATAGTTTAACTTGTGGGCATTGTAACGAGCTTGGTGCATGCAAATAATGAATTTTATGCAAAGAGACAAAACTGATTTTTTTTAAGCCTGTTTATATTTATTTGTGTTGCCATGGCAATGGCAGATACGTCAGCTAAACTATCAAACAAACGTTAGTGTTGTTAACTTGGGTGTTGCCAATTTTGGCGACTATAGTATCAAGGGTTTCTAAAACAAGATAGTGAATGAAACACAGGTATCATAGACTGTGTTTGGCCACCTTAAGTGAGTTAGTGTACTTATTTAGTTTTAAAAAGCAACATGAAGGCTTGGAAATTACATGAAAACAACAAATTCAATTCTTCAGTTAATTCTTTTGCTTTTCAAGCTCCACCTGAACTACATCCTGAACTCAGAAATCGATCCGTTGAACTGAACTCCACGTTTACTATGGAATGCACTGAAAGGGGAGATCATCCGCTACAGATTAACTGGACTAAGAATGGCGTGGATCTTGGTAACAATAACACATACACTGTAGATCACGTGACTTTCGACCATGCAGGCTTGTATGAATGTACAGCTGTAAACTGGGCAGGGAAGACTAACGCATTCTTTTGGATTGACGTAACAGGTAATGCAAATGACTTGTGAATAAAAGTGTTAAGAGGATGGTTTCCTATCAATTACTGAACTGGTTTAATGGAAACTTTGGTTCAGTTGTTCAAAGTTGTTGCACTTTCTAATCAAGTGATGTCATCAATAGCTTTAGTTTAAGAATAGGGTTGGTGTATACTCATTGTATACAAAAAGTATACTTATGTAACATTTGATTTTTTAAGGGTTTGTCATTTTTCCCCCCATTGGAAACTGAACATTATTTTTAAACTTTTATCTGTGCCAATCATGACTAATTTTAATTTCTTATAAATGTTCAAAGCAACAATCCTCATTCCTTTGAATAAAGAAACCTTTCCTTACTACTTTCAGGGGTTGGAGAAAAGTATAACCTTAAATTTTAATTAAGTTAATAAGTTACCGTGACAAAGGTGAAAACATGTCACCTGATTTTGATTTTATAAAGACATTGATTTGGTTTCTAGGATCTTTTGTTTTCAATGCAATTTTGAAGAAATTGTTCCTTTTCTTCCACTCTTTATCCTCTTATGGTTAAGTTCAAGTGGAACTTGTATTTTTTGTAAGTTGGCTTTAGATAGTGCTGTGAGCTTTTGGAACACGTAAATGAAATCAGAATCATTATTTTAAACTTGGAAAAAAAACATAACACAAAACAGTGGACCAATGGGCAAGGCTGTAAGCAAATATTTTGTACTTGGCCATATTGTTCAGTAAGCCTATTCACCTTGGAGCGTGCCTAAAGTCCCTTTTGATTTCAAACTTTTCTAACTTAGACAGCATTGAAGTTATTTGTGATGTCAAACTTTTGACTTTTTCGTGAAAGTTAAGCTGTGTTAATGGTTTGGTTAGGTTTCTTGACGCGTCTTTGGCAACCATATGTTTTCAAAGGATGTTTTATTCGAAGTTTAAGCTCAAATGTATGTTTCAGTGTGATTTTGGATTTTATATAGATGTTAATGCGAAAATTCCTCAGGCTCACAAAAAGAACAAAGTGAAATATGTTTAATAGCTGAATTATTTGATTGCCCTACATGTAGCCTAGACCATCAGTTTAAAAGAGTTTGTCTGGTCAATAGTCTCTCCTCAGATTTATGTTTCTCCAAGAAACAAGTCTGTTCCTGAAGGCTACCCAGCAAACTTTAGCTGCAAAGCCACAGGTGTTCCCAAGCCAACACTGTCCTGGATATTCAATGATGGGGACCTCCCATCAGCTGTCAATCAAACCAGTCTTGATAAAGGATCATTCCTGGGGTTACCTCACACTACGAAACAAATGGAAGGCATCTACAAGTGTTTAGCAGAAAACAAAGCGAAGGCAACAACTTCCTCTGCATATCTTCATGTCTTTGGTAAGCAGAAAAACAGTCTACCTTATATACGATCATTGCAGTTACAAAATAAAATTAATTAGTTCTGAAGAAAGATAACTTCAGGCCTGGATGTATCTGGATATCTAGTCAATCAGAAGTTCATGTAACTCGCGCGATACTTTCAGTTGCGTATAGTGTCGCTTCAAGTAAACCTCAAGAGTACTTAGGATGTGATGTCTTATTCGCCTAACCCGAGTCTTAATTTCAAACTTTTCCCTTTATCTTTGATGTTCACTTAATAACTGCATGTAGAATTCATAATATTATGCTTAGAATCTATACTATACCTTAGTCTACACTAACCTTTTTCATACACGACATCATTTTCGAATATAAACCCAAATAGTTTTGAGGTGCAACATTCCAAAAATAAAAATAAAAGGTAAAAAATTGCCCCCTCCCCCTTCACTTTTTATATTAAGATCTTCCCAAAATAAATCCACCAAAAAGTCTTTTGAACATATATGCCCATGAATTACTGGAATGTTTTGAATCTCTTAACCTTTGTCTATTGTTGGATTGTTTGACTTAAAAGAAAAACCCAGCGCCGAAGTGAGCCCAAGGCCTTATCCAAAACTGACAGAAGGAGATGAGCTCAGATTAACTTGTAAAGTCAATAAAGTAACTGTGGCAATCAAATGGAAGAAAAATGATGATGACGTAATCCCGAGAGCACAGATTGATACACGAGTAGATGATAAATCGAGCGAACTTTTTATTGAGGATGTTGTGGAAGGTGATAGCGGGGAATATTCTTGTGAAGCACGTAACAGACCAGGTATTGTGGCCCGCTCCACTGTGAAGATCAATGTCAATGGTAAGATGCTTTTTCCATTCATTAAACACAGAATAATTTTTAATAACTTTGTCCACAGAGAAACATGCAGTGAAACATGTTGCAAGTGGTCTTGCCCTGTCACTGTTAAGTTATGACTTAATGGATAGAACTAGCTGTGACTAAATTTTGGAGAGTGATGGCAGAGAAGTTTACAATGCTGTAATATTACATATATTATATAATTTCATAATGTACATGTAATCAACTAGGCATTAATATTGCCTTGTCCTACATTTTTGCAAGCTTCAGGCTATCTATTAAAGGAACAATCCTTTTTATCGTACCTTATCAGTGTATGTTATAGTGTGACTAACTGCTTACTATTTGAAAATAAATTATGTGGATTGTGGTGCGTGGGAAGTCCAGACACCTCCACATTTAGGTTCCTCTTGGGTTGGCTCTAATTAGCTTTTGAACAATCAAGGCTGGGTTGACAGGGGCAAAGTGAGTGTAGAGTGTCTTTCTCGAGGTCACAATGTAATGATCCTGGCCACGACTGCTTGGTCTCAAGTCCAGTGGGCTAACCATTCAGTGTTTTTCCCACTAGAATAACAATAAGTAACATAAAAAACTATGAAAATGAAGGCTTGTGTAATAATACTAAAGGCTCCCTTTTCAGGTTCTATTGCCAGGCTGGCTGTGGAGTGGTATTATATTGTGGGATCCCTGTTTGGTTGCGTTGTTATATTTGCTGTTGGTTGGTGCATTTGCAAACGTCGAAGAGCAAGTAAAAACGATAACTGATTAACAGTTTTTTTTTATCTTAGTTTTCTGTTTTTATATTCAGATTTTGTTTTAAGGAAGAAAAAGTCGATGTTGATTTACCATACAGCTATTCAAGGATTCATGACAAATAGACCATTTTTGAGTTGCCTTTTGCCGCTATGTCAAAACAAGTCTGTGCGAGACCATTCAAATGAAAAAGTGTTTCCCTTACAGGTACATTTTCATGCAAATCCAACTCATTATCATATGAAAGGTTTTGCACAAGCACTCGGTTTGAAACAGAGGCTCAAGGTAACTTGGAAATGGCTATTCAATTTCAGTGTAATGTAAAACACACGACTTTAGTAAAACTGCTTAGCCTTAGAGATAAATTGTTGCCCGCTGATTTAGCTACATTATATACAGCAAATACCAATTTTTAGAGCATGGGTGTCCTTCCCCATTAAATGTCTTTGGCAAAATGATAGTTGTTGTTGTTAATTTAACTCACCCTCTGACTCTGTATAGAGTATTTCAAGGTCTGGCCTATATTAAACCTGGTTTTATTGTGTTTGTTTCTTCTGTTTCTTTCTTTCATACAAACGTATCTTTCGTTATCTTTCACTGGGTATATACAGCTGTGGCAAGACTGTAAGTTGAAAGTGAACTCTCATTTTTTATTTTACTACTTTTTTGCTTCACTCTTTTTGCCTATCTACCTAAAACCACCAATAAACATTTATTTTCAAAGGGGCACTATCATCAGAATGTCTTCGAACTGACAAAATCCAAAAGATACATTCGCCTCAATGATAACCTACATGTAAAAGCAGTGGTGTCTTTTGTGAGAAATTACTATACCACTATGCACTGAAGCTGTCAAAGAGGTGTTATCATGATTTCTGATACTGAAATTCTATACCCTTGTGTTTTAAAAAAATCTTGCAAAACTAATCTGAATAATTGCCTCTACCTTTAAATAAAAAAAGCTCTTTAAAATTTTAATAATTATAGGTGCAGGCTAGGGTCGACCTTTCGTCTTTGAGTGCTTAGTCATATATATTGGCCGAGCAAGATTCTCTTTAACAATTTATTCAAAGAGTGATGATAAAGTATTGGGTAAAATTGTTTAGATTTGATCAAGAGCAAGCAGTTGAGATGCAGTTCTGTAACGTTGAAGTGGATGAATGGGAGATTGCAGTTGGCCGTTTACAACTTCAAGAGGTCATTGGCAGGGGGGCATTTGGAGCAGTCTGGAAAGCACTTTTGAGTGAACCGGATGGAAAACCTGGAAATCGGACAGTTGCTGCAAAATGCTTCACACGTAAGATCATGTAGGAGTAGCAGGTTAAACTCAGACATGTGCGATTCTATTTGGTAATGTACACACAGACTCTATCTGTTTAGCAGTCAGGCAATCGGTGGCTGTTTTGCATCATAGCACAAAAAATGATTCCCTTGTTTAATTTCAGAAGCGCTGGTGACAATAGTACTAATTTCGCACTTGTATCAGTTCAGTTGTCCAGTTAGGCTCCTTTCCACTGTTAACTCCATTTAGAGAAGCAGGAATATTTTAAAAATTTTGTTGTCTCTTACTACAGGCTTACTGTCCTCTGTGTGTGGTCAAAGGTCTCCAAGATACTCAAACTTCTTAGTTATTGTTCTATATTAAATATATATTAAATATTTAATTACATTAAAATGATATTTATGTACAGCAGTGTAGATGCAACGAAATGAAGGAAAAATAGTTGTGCATTGTTTTTGTTTGCTTTTTGCAACTTGAAGTATATAAGAGTAGTTTTGCAAGTTTAAAGCCCCGGCCAAACGATTGCAACATTTCAACGCAACATTGTTGGGTGCAACGTGTTGCACGCGTTTGGCCACCCTGTTGTGGCATGTTGCGAAGTGTTGAGTGTTGTTGCTTCAAATGTGACCATATTCAAACTCGTAGTTTTGTAGTTCTGATTCCCCTTGACCACACAAAGATGGTGGTAGTTACAGTGCTCGCTGAACCGTTGCATGACAGTTGTATTTTTTCAATAGTTTATTTAGCAATTATTCCAGGAGGGCGCATTGAATATGAGATGGTAGATAGCCAATGAAGCATGTAGCGTTGAGTTGGCTATAATCATCTCATATCCAACAAGCGCGAGTGGAATAATTGTTTTATTATAAACGCCCCCAAAATATAGAAAACTAGACTAAAATAAAAAAGAGACCGCCCCAAAAATTCACACGTATGCTCACCATATTTGTGGAGCATGGTATAATGGCTCATAACCCATGATGGCTAAGCCAATGAAAACTCTCGAATTGCATTATCCAATGATTCAGTTTTTAATAAATACCTATATACCATTAGTGATTTGTACCTTATTTTATATTGTGGTCTTACATTGTAGCCACTTCTGGGGAAGATGGACGGAAATCTCTGATGAGAGAAATTGAGCTGGGAAAACTTCTTGGAGATAACCGTCAGGCAAACATTGTTCAGTTTATTGGCTGTGTTACAACCCAAGGTAAAGAGATGCAATAACTGAAATTAAATGTTAATTAATATCTATAGGTTTATGCCCTGCTGTCACTACTCTGAAACTTTACTTGAATCAGCTGCACGTGAAACCTAAACTGATAATTCTTTTAGAAGTGTCTATTTTATCTTGTTAAGCGGGAAAAAGTCTTCAAATTAAAAGACTTTTGTGGTCACTGGATTCTGCAGCCAATTAGTTATGTAGTCACTGGATTTTAGAACCATTTGATTCTGCGGCCATTTGATTCTGTAGTCACTTCATTCTGTAGTCACTGGATTCTGAAGCCACTTAATTCTTTTTCCACTGGATTCTGCAAGAAGTGACTTGCACTATTGCTCCTTCTCCTGAATAGGATGATATTCATATATAGTTTACCCCCAACGTGGCCAGTGTGTGAAAATGTGGCCAAACACGGTCTTTCTGTATATTACTTCTAAGTGACTAGGTTACATGAGGGTAAATGTCTTGCCCAACCGTCAGCACATTGACATCCCCGAGGGCCTACACCTAGACTGCTTGATCCTTTGTACTTAACAGTACTCTTATCATAATAAAAATTTAAAAACGATCTCTGGCCTAAAATGTTTATAGATATACGAGCTTTTAACTGTTCTACAGTCTTCGACGGGTAAAGATGAATGACGAAATATGAATATAAATGAGTAAAAATAAAAAGAATGGACTATGTAAATTAACTATTATTCTTTTTATTTTTATTTTTACTCATTTATATTCATATTTCATCATTCATCTTTACCCGTCGAAGACTGTAGATCTAACAGTCGAAAGGTCGTATATCTATAAACATTTTTAGCCAGAGATCGTTTTTAAATTTTTATTATGCTCAACCCTGGCTATGATCCTTCAATATTTTTAAGTACCCTTATCATTAGGCCGCTTCTTCTATCAAATGTCCCAAAAATATAGAGTACCTCAAAAGATGAATTGATTGTAGATAAGTAGTGTTTAGTGTTTACCATTTTGTTCTTAGTTCATCCAATGATGATCATGGAGTACTTGGCGTGTGGTGACCTGCTGGGTTATCTGAGGAAAAGCCGTGGAATTCATGATAAGTATCATCTTGGACAGGGGAGTGTTCCAGAGCTGGAAATATATGACCTAGTGCTGTTTGCCAAACAAATTGCGGCTGGTATGGTGTTTCTTGGATCAAGAGGCGTAAGTAAACATCTCTCAGAAATCTGACTGCGACAAAATTCCACAAGCTAAGACTCCAACACTTACAATTCCTACTGAGTCTGTATTTTACACCACATTTGGACAAACTCTAGATCTTTAACTGGTAGATCAGTATGTTAGTTGTTTTGGGATTTTCTTAAGCATATTTTCATTGATGAAGTTTGTGTTAGAGTCTATTAACCCACTAGGCCAGTGACTAGGAGTATTTCTACACCCTCCTGGAAGGAATGCTAGTCCTTCGCAGATTTGCCCTCAGCATTAAATTTGCTGGTACCCATTTTATGTACCTGGGTGGGAGAGGCATTGTGAGAGTAAAGTGCTTGAGCCGAAAGCACTACAGGATGTTGTAGTCAGGTCTGGATCCCACACCAGTTGATCTGGAGTCCAACACAGTGATATGTACTGGAAGTGGAAATATATTACCGTTTTTAATGCTCGAACATTGCAAAGGTTGTTAAGTTTCTTCAGTCAACTTTTGAAAATGCTGATTGCAGCTTTTACAATTGTTTTAGTGTTTAGCTCATCTCCTATCCCTGAATTGTAATCTACCGCTGACTTCTTCTGAAGATTTGATTAAGAATTAAGGTCCCAAGTTCCAAACATTATAGAAAAGGCATAGGCTTCTGTGAAATTGATGTTTTTTGTTTCAAAAGGGCAATAACTGAATGATTCTTTTTGGGAAGAGTTATCATATTCAAAATCTAAGATAATATCTTTTTGTAGATAATCCATCGTGACCTTGCAGCTCGTAATGTTCTTCTTGATGACAACTTTGTTTGCAAAGTTACCGACTTTGGTCTGGCTTATCAAGATTTCAAATATGGACATGGAAATGCTAAAAAGGTATCTCAATTTGTAATTTTAAACAGCCACATCAATTAAGGTTACTTCCCACCTTCGCGGGTGCCCTTCTGGAAAAAAAATTGTACGCGCGCCAGTTTCAATAAAACTCCAACAAACTATACATCATAAGAAAGCTTAATAAATGTACTTTACGAAAAAAATACAATTTTAGCAATGTTTTCTTTTAGGAAGTGTCAGGAGGCGGTAANCCCCCCCCCCCCCCCTCCCCTTATATTTCTAAAGATATGCATATACATGTAAGAGCAAGTTTCGAAGTACATTACATTTTAAATCCACAGGCGTACAACACTGGGGGTTATGCCTTCAACTCATTTTTTTCTCATTATTAAGCCATTAAAGTTAATTAACCTTCGTACGGTCTCCAGTATGACTGAATGAAGGAAGGGAGAGAGGTACGAGGGGAGGGAGAAAGGAAGGAAGGAAAGAATTATGGACAATAGTAATGCTATGTGACTGCATGGGTTTCTTCAGGAAGGATCTGTGAAACTGATTAATTAATCTACTTATCAACTATAATTGTTTTCTTTTTGCAACGAATGCACACTTGGCATGTTTCAGATTGCTTCGATGACTCAGATTTATTTAAAGAGGGTGTTTTGTGTTATTGCTCATTTATAGAGTTCAGTTTTAATTAAATCTTATCACGGTGTCTTTGGCTTAGGGAAGACATACAGTAAGTAAACTAAGACCTCCATATGAGCTACACTTTTTGAGGAATCCACAATATTAAAACTTCCACTCGTGTTTCTGTAACTCGATAGAAACACGGAACATGTTTCCTATTTCATAATTGGTGGCTTACGTGGATGTCCTTTAATATTTGCAGAATGATCTTCAATACTAAATTTTCAATATTAACGTAGTTTTGTGGATTCCTTTAAATTTGTTACAATTTGTTTCAATTTATCGCAGAAGTAATTAAAGTAATTGTACTTATTCATAATAACAATTATTATTGGTTGCAACAACGTTTGATTAGTTAGCCTGCCCTGTGATGATAAACTGTTGAGGTAAACTGTTTAGTCCTGATCAAGAGCAAGCAGTTGAGATGAAGTTCTGGAACGTTAAAGTGGATGAATGGGAGATTGGAGCTGACCGTTTAAAACTTCAAGAGGTCATTGGCAGGGGGGCATTTGGAGCTGTCTGGAGAGCACTTTTGAGTGAACCGGATGGAAAACCTGGAAATCGGACAGTTGCTGTAAAATGCTTTACACGTAAGATCATGTAGCAGAAGAATGACGAACTGAGATGTGTGCTATTCTATTTTATAATGTACACACAAACTTAATCTGTTTAGCTGTCAGGCAATCAATAACTGTTTTGGATCGTAGCACAAAAAATGACTCCTTTTCATTGTAAACTCCATTTAGTCTATTGGCTGATCTCCAATATTAGCATGTAGCGCCTCCATGAGATCCTATTCCATGGAAGGGCTTCCCCAGAATTTGATTGGCAGCTACCTGTTTGTATAACTAAGTGGAGAGAAGCATTGTGAGAGTCGTGATTCCTCTTAAGCAAAGAAACATGATGGTACCTAGAGTTAGATGGTACTTAGAGTTCTCTCAACTGTTAACTAAATGTCTATATAGCTAGCTAATATAGCTGATTTGTACCTTATTGCGTTGTGGTCTCACATTGTAGCCACTTCTGGGGAAGATGGACGGAGATCCCTGATTAGAGAAATTGAGCTGGGGAAACTTCTTGGAGAAAAACCTCAGGCAAACATTGTTCAGTTTATTGGCTGCGTTACCACACAAGGTAGAAAGATGTAATTAATTCCTTCAAATTAATTTTGACTTAGTGATTACACTGCTGTAACTTGATTGTGTAGCATGCTTAATTGATTAATTGATTCTGTAGCACAGTTGATTTTTATAGCTACTTGATTCCGTTGCACACATGATTCTGTAGGTATTGGACTCTGGAACACACTGGCTTCTGTTCCACTGGATTCTGTAGCCACTTATATATGTAGTCCCTGCTGGATTCTGGAACCATTTGATTCTATAGCCACTTGATTCTGTAGTCGCTCGGGATCCTGGAGACACTTCATTCTGTAGCCACTGGATTCTGAAGCCACTTAATTCTTTTGCCGCTAGCTTTTGTAGCAGGAAGTGGCTCTCACTATTCCTCCTTCCCCAAAGCATGATGATAAACATTCACAGTTAACCCCTTGCACTTTGTCCTTATTCATTTATGATTCTGAGTGAGTAGGTTACATGAGGGTAAGTGTCTCGCCCAACAGTCAGCATATTGACATCCCAGAGCCGACACCTGACCTACTCGATCCTATGTCCAGTACACGGATTATTAGGCCGCCTCCTTTATCAAGTTTTCCAAAAAGTATAGGGCACTTTTTTAAAAAAAAAAGATGAAATGATTGTAGATAAGTAGTGTTATCCCTTCCTCCGCTCTTAGTTCATCCAATGATGGTTATGGAGTACTTGGCGTGTGGTGACCTGTTGGGTTATCTGAGGAAAAGCCGTGGAATTCATGATAAGTATCATCTTGGACAAGGGAGTGTTCCGGAACTGCAAATATATGATCTAGTGTTGTTTGCCAAACAAGTTGCTGCTGGTATGGTGTTTCTTGGATCAAGAGGAGTAAGTAAACATCTCACAGAAATCAGACTGTAGCAAAATTCCACGAGCTAGGACACCAATACTTGTAGATTTCTAGTCAATCTGAATTTTAGGCCACATTTTGACAAACTCTAAGTTCTTACTGGCAATGCGGTATGTGTGATTTGGTAGACTTACTTTCATTGATGAAGTTTTCTACTGTACATAGTGCAAGGTCTGTGTTTGAGCCTATTTGCCCATCAGACCAGTGCTTTACCTTATCTCTGGCTTCTGCAGTCTTACGTAACTAGGAGTATTTCCAACACTCCCCCCCCCCCNTATCTCTACTCCCCCTGGAAGGGATGCTAGTCCATTGCAGAGCTACCCACAGCCTTAATTTTGCTGGTACCCATGTTTTGCACCTAGGTGGGAGAGGCACTGCAGGAGTAAAGGGCCTGGATCAAATACACTACAGAATGTTGTAGTCAGGGCTCGATCTCCGACCACTCCATTTGGAGTCCAGCAGAGGAACCCACTTTCGCTGAGTGGAAATATCACTTTGTTACTACTCGAACACTGTAAGGGTAATCAAGTTTCTTCAATCAATCTTCTCCGCCTCTCCCTGGATTGCAGTATACCACCGAATTCTTCTATAGATTTGGTTTAAATTAGTGAAGGGCCCCAGTTCCAAAAATTAAGGAAAGGGTTATAGGCTTCCTGTAATTGTGTTTCTTTTTTTCCAATGGGCAATAACTAAATGGCGGTACTTTTTGACAAGTATAGCACATTTAAGATGTAAAATATTCTCTTTTTGTAGATAATCCATCGTGACCTGGCAGCTCGTAATGTTCTTCTTGATGACAACTATGTTTGCAAAGTTACCGACTTTGGACTGGCTTATCAAGATTTCAAGTATGGACATGGAAATGCCAAAAAGGTATCTTAATTTATAATTTTGCACAGCCATAGCACTATTAACACATAATTGCTGGCCCCGAGGGAAACATTTAAGATGGCTCACAACTGTTTCCAGCGTTTTTTGGTATGTCTTTGTTGAATCAATACTACCACTCTTTTGGTCGATGCTATAACAGTGACATCAACGAAGGTTTCAATCATGGTTAAACAAGTTCCTGACGCAAAAGGTTACCATAGCAATGGTATAGGCCGTTCAAAAGGGTGTTAACTTCAGCTTCAAGTGCTCACAATTAAAAAAGCAAGTCAGTCCCATGGCCTTCAATTTATTATTATTATTATTATTATTATTATTATTA